AACAAGAGTACTGCTTCCTACTGAGTGCTCTCACTCCCTAATATGTCACCTCCTATAGGATTCACGCATCAAAGCACGACATTCAGGGCAGGCTTCGTGTGGTTTAGGATGCCTGGAGCATGTGACCTGCGCAGCATGCAGCTGCCAAACGTGGGCCGTTCACATGAAAGCCTTTCAGGAGGGCGAGGAATATTTCATCCTCGCAGTGACCATTTTTCTTGCACATCTTCCTCAGCCCGCGACCACGCAGGTGATGATAACCACTGCAGGTAGACCTGGCAATTGCGAAGTGCCGGTACATCTTTGAAGGGTGCAAGACGAGGCGCAAGAACGTGAGTAAAACTGCGCCAGCCTGATCTCTCAAAGCTTGCCACCCGAAAAAAAAAAGAGGTTATACAGAGGTTTTGTAGGGGCCATGTACTCCTTTTAGAGGTCGAACCATAAAAGAAGTTCTTCTCAAAAAACCGTATACTCAAGAAGAGGATCTAGTGTTGCTTTTTATTGGAGACTATACTCTCCCTGCTTTAAACACGTATTGCCCGTACAAGTGGGGAAGTTGTCGCTCGAAAAAGACTGCCAACCCTAAACCCTAAAGGTCCCTAAACCGGAAAGCCTAAACCACATGAGCTGCCCCTCCTACAGTACCCAGCCTGTGGAAAAAAATCCTTGGCCAAAGCCTCGCGAAGGGGGCTTCTTCAGCTTCGAAGCTTAGGGACCCAGTGGGTATACAGATTTGAAATGTAGATCTACACATCTATACATATATGTATATATACATATGTGCGTGTACAAATGACTTCCTCTCTTGCGTGCTCATGTGGGAGATGTAGGGTTTATAGCATAGGTGGGTGCAGCGTTGAAGGGCTAGGGTTTCGAAAGGTCTGCGCCCCTTTTGGCGCGCCTGTTAACAAGACTAGTTCATCTGCGCGGATATGGGGAATTCGTATAGAGCTCAGGTTGCAGTTCTAAATGCCCTTTGTCCGGGCTGTATACATGTAATGCGAGCTTTGTTCATAACAGACAGCCAAACAGAAGAGTCGTAGGTATTGTTGACGTTAAGTGCTTCGTTTTCTTTAGAACCTAGTCTTGCCAATTGCTCACGAGGATGAGGGCCGGGGGCTCTGGGGGGTACAGACCCTCTGGCTGTATGTAACTAACGACCTAGAATGTGGCGCACGCTGTCGCTACGCCGTCATAGGTGAAAATCCTTACTAGAGTGGCTTCATTCAAGTCTCCGACGTTACGGTTGTAAGTTTCGGAGAGGCCGGATTCCAGCTGCATTGCAGCAGCAATTCCAACCAAGATGTCAAAGCTCATCCGCCGAAACCGTGGAAGCATTGAACCAACATCCCCACGTCGCCTCCAAGGGGCCGATACGAAGCTGAAGCGCAACTCCCCAACCAAAGTTGAGATGAGTCAGGGACTATAGATTGCAAAAATACCTTGCTCCCGTCGTTCGGGCCAGACGTCTCACTCTTCCTGTTCACTCATCAAGGCCATCAGCTGTCACTCTAGTGCTTCCCCAGATTGATTGTGGAATCTCCAAACATCCAACAACATGCCCGAAGCAAGGCAGCCCCAAATCGCTATGAACTAAATGTCCGAAACCAAGGCTATCCTTTGGGGTCCTAGTTGCCACGAGTGTCGGTCATAGCTGGACTACCACTGGCCGACAATTTTCTTGGGGGGGGCTACTTCTGCAAAACTCAAGCGGGCGCCTTGGAGGACAACTTGCACAATCCCCAAGTCGGCATTCCTGGGCCAAAGCTCAGAAACTTCAAGCAGTTTTACCTGGGACCTCAGAGGTTGAATGTGAACGGTCTCTGTGGTATCTACCTACGATCGGACACTTTCTGCGGAACGTTACGGAAAGCATAGAGCAAATTTGGAACCGAAGTCATGATATCTGCGTGCGTTTTCGTTTTCAGGAAAAACCTTGGAACCATGTCCTGCAAGGATAAATAGCCAAGAAACTATACTGCTCGCATTGTTTGGGCAAGGTATGTATCTCCTGCAGTCCAAGAGCTTTCAGATGAATTTCAACCTGTCCCATCCAGGCATGTGTAGCCCTTGCCATGAAAAATAGTCTTGGAGTCATGGAGTCATCATTGAAATCCGTTACCGTGGCCTTGCAGGGTTTGACAAAGGCCGCTCTCAGTGAGTGTCGGCATATAAGGAACTTTCATAACGCGTCACGAAAATACCCAACCCCTCACGAGCCCATTCTTAAGAGACCAAGCGTCATGGCTAAAGAGCGCACCGGAGAGTAGTCCGTCGAGGTGAAGTATTCGCCTGGGCAGTGTTTTCGCTCACGCTCATACGGTTGACAAGACAAGCGACATGTGGGTGAAAGCCATGTGGTGGGGAAAGCCCAGATACTTCGACAACCACAGGCCACATTGATGCAACTACGCGAGTCACCACCATGTGGAACATAAAAATCCACCAAGAGATGCAAACCCTGAACTTAACAACTTCAGCGCCATTTTCTGAATGTTAGCGCCTCCATTCTGCAGCTGCTTAATCACAATTCTAAAATTCGCTGTAGGTTTCCCCATGCGACAACGTGTGCTGGGGATCCATGCGACTAAGTCTTGCGAAGCTCTCTTGGTTTGCTGATGTTCTAGGTTTGCAACCGACACTCCAAAATATCTCCAGAGAACACCATGAGCACGTCAAAGAGATCTCCAAGAGCAGAGGAGCAAACGAAAAGGCCCCAAAAGCGACGAGAGGAGGCAAGGATCGGACCTTGGCCGTGATTTGGAGCTTGGAGCTGAAAAATGTTAAGGCGCTCCTTCCGAAGCGGCGACAGCATCCAAAGGCGACGACGGTAGTGCGTTTCGTGAGGTGCAGGCGCACCAGACTGTGGTCAGAGCGTCATGTTGAGCCCAAATAGCTCGAAGTGGGAAAGACCTCCTAAATACAAAACCTGTAAACAACCCCTGCAGGGGACAATTTTCCGCAAGCGCATAAAGCCATTAGTGTTGACAAGCTCAACCTGCTTGAGGACTTATTTGGCCCATTACTTAAAACCCCTATACGACCCCTATAATTGTAGTAGTTTCCATTTTATTTTCCATTATCCCAATAAAGCCCCAATATAACCCTAATATACGCTTCTTCCAGGCAAGGAGCCTAAAAGGACGCAGACTTCCGGGATCACCTGGCCCATGAGCCTCAGGGCACAGTAGGGCTTACAGATTGCCGGCTCCTCCCCGGGCCCCCTAAAGGATCCAAAAGATGGAACCCCAAAATGACCCCCATTACTACATTGGGGAAACTAGGGAGTGATTGGGAGGTTCTATTTCGTGGATCCTGTAGGGGCCTGGGTGATCGCCACCACTGGCTTGTTTTACCTGTATACACCATGCAAAGATGGCCACCACAGCTCTTTGCACAAATCATGTAAGCAGTTTTGTTTCCAACGTTTGGATTTACAGACTTATTGAAAGCTTGAGCTTCAAAAAACTGACGCGTAGCTACGTGACTGGGCCGGCCAGAGACCAGCACAAGGGTCCCTTACAGAACAGGCCCCCGCATCCTTGTTCTATCTTTTGAAGCCTTCTGCGCCTTCGTGAAGCATAACTAAACTGTGAGGCGAGAAGATGACCTGAGGTTTTGGATTTGTACTTGAATTGAGAGCACACAAAACAAAGCTATTTCAGCATGTGATTGCGGCAACACCTAACCAGTGCTGTATAAGGGTAAGTCTCCCCAAGCGTAGGCCCAACCTTGAATCGGTATGCTGGAAAGGCCCCAAATATACCCAATGTCAAAGGGGTCCCCTCCCGACTCCCTACCGAATCCCAGGCCCGAGACCCTAAACCCTCATATGGCAAGGCCCAGGCACGAGATGACGCAAAAGTGCCAAAAGCGATCAAAGGAGATGGTCCCAACCAGGTACTCTTGGAAGCTGACAAGGATCTGCACCTATAGTCCCCCTTAAGTAGATAGAATATGGGGTATATGGGGATCTTATTTATTATGATATACCCAAAGCCTTATTCTATCTACTTAAGGGGGACTATATGCCAAACTCATTGGCCTCTAGGGCTTAGGAATGTTGAGGTTTCAGGACTTTAAGATGTTGAGGCTTTAGCTTCAAGGTTCAAGTTTAATGATGTTGAGGGGTCAGGTTTAAGGGCCCCCGCCGAATTGAAAAAACCGGTCTTTCGGAGACGGCGGGATGCCGTTGATGTCTAAAAACTGCAAAGCACTGACTCAAGTTTGGGCATCACGCAGACTTGCAAACTGATTGCTTTAAGTCGTCGAGCATGTAAGAAGCTGACTGGATATAATCCGAAACATAGAAGTCACTAAGCCACTAGCGCAGATAGTTTCACATGCAGCTATGGTTCAGCAGAGCACGGCAAAACATGTAGATGATCTATCATAGAAAGATTTGTGGATGGGGTAGTGCTAACCGCCATGTCATGATCTTGCCCTCTTTATACCAGTCCAAGGATTGCCCTGTGGTAGGTGTGGAGGGGATCCGCGTGCATTATCACCGCATAGTTTCGGTGGCGACCAAGATAACTGCCGCATCGTATATCTGCTAAACTTATGTGAGGTACTACAACAACCCTTCTACAAAGCTGCATGAGCAGCACTCAGCATTCCCACCGAAGGCTAGCTAATTCTAGATGGTGCCGCGCAACATGTTGGTCTGGGGGCGGGTGGTATGCTTCCTGGAACTGGGGTAGGTCGGAGGGCCTTATATATACATATATATATATATATGAAAAAAACCTTTGTTGAACCCTTGGTAAGGATTATACAGGGGTTATACGTATATTTTAAAAAATCGTTCGAACCCTAAACCCTTAAACCCCCTGAGCCTGAGGAGTGGTTGCGGTAACATGGGGTAATTTCCGAATCTCCAATCTACACCAGGCACCCCTAATTTTGGGAAACCCTAAATTGAAAATCCTACATACCCCCCCCCCTATATTCCCCTTTATTAAGGAGAACCCCCCCATGTTGCTTCAGAGCCATAACACCAGCTGCACCAAGCCAATGACAAGGAGTAGGTTGGCCTTGGCTGGGGAGGGGTCTTGGGGGGTTGGGGTTTGGGCTCTAGGGCTTAGGGTTTAGGTTTTAGAGTTGGGGTTTAGGGTTGGGGGTTTAGGGTTTAGGGTGTAGGCTCTTCGAGGGACTACATGCTATCTCAAAAATGTTAGCTGTCAGCAAGTTCCCTCCCCGGCCGCCTGACCCACCCCATCAAACCCATGTTCAGGGCTTTAGGATTCAGGGTATATAGGGATGAGGGCTTCAGGACTCAGGGTTAGGGCTGCCGGGGGTTCTCACAATACAAAACATTGGGGCATTGGGGACGTAGGGATGCATTACCGGGCTCAAATATAGAACGCCACTCTTCGCAGGTCTTGGCACAAGTTGGACTGAAAGGCTTGGCAGCTGACTTGAGGTGGGAAGGTGCAGGCGCATCATTGGGCCCCCCCAAACCGCGCGAAGAGCTCTTTGAAACCCAAACGGAAAGCTTCTAAATCCCAAACCCGCTACAAAGCCAACCTATGGCCTGCCTATGAGGGAGAGGTCCCTTTCTGGGTGTCACTAGCACTCAGTACGAGAATGCTGGCCACTACTGCGCTATTCTTAGTACATAAAACTTACAAATCTCACTCGATGCCACCCTTGCTCTTACGCAAGGCACTCACGAAGGTCAGAGGGAGGATGCACATAAAAGGAACAGGGACTTCCAGGCGCGTTTTAGGCGCATGATGGGTTGACCATGCGCTGTTGGCCTCTTGCAAGGAGCTCAAGCTGTCTACGTTGAATGTCTGGGGCCTGAGGCCCCTAGAAATAAGGGGATTATGGTGTGGGTACTGCCCCCCAATCAGTAACAGTTGGATAATAATTTTGATATGGTTATATATAGCCCTTAATGGGACCCCCAATATAGACTGTTACTGGGGGGGGGCAGTACCCAAATTATGCTTTAGGAGGCGTCAGCCCTGCTGACTTCTGTTGCCGGGCGGCCCTCAGGCTCCACCGAATCCTTTGAGCAGTGAACCGCTCGTGGACGTGCACGAAATACGCCACCAAAGAGCAACCAACCTGGCAGCTTCGGATTATCCGGTCTGTACATAAAAGGCCCCCCAAACATGTATGACAAGGTTCCGTCTACTACAAGAAAATGATTTTACAGGCTAGCCCGAATAGCTAGCTAGCCTTGAGGGGTGTTGAGGACTGGCTTGGGCAGTGCCAGTGCGTTACCCTGCGGTACAAGGATCGACAACTTGCAAGTCTACAGCGATAAAGACCGTTCATGGTTCGGGAGCTATGGCAACAACCCACGTGTCCTGGGACCCTTGCAAGGCAATCTTGAAGAAGCATACTAGGAAGGGGTTGACAAATCGGATGAATCACCAGTGGGCCTTCATCATCTTGTCGTGAACATGGCTACTGGCAACAAAGGATTACATGTAGATGCCATCAAGAGGAGTTACGTCTTAACATTGAGGGGGGATGGGCCGAGAGGCTCCGGCTACAGAGGATGTTCCAGGAATGTTCTGGGGTTGCGGGGCAGGCCGCAAGAAAACCTACAGTCCCCCTTAAGTAGAGAGAATATGGCTTTGGGTATACTATGATTATACTAAGATCCCCATATACCCCATATTCTTTCTACTTAAGGGAGACAATATTCCCTGAAGATCTTCCCCTGAGGCTCCTTCCCGGCCCCTGCATATCTCAGGCCAGATACTTCGCTTGGCGACCAGGCACGTGAACCACGCGATTGCTTGCTAGTCGCATTCCTGATGCCTCAAAGATCCTCAAGGGGTGGTAAGTAGCTAGGCATTACTTGAGCCAACCTTGATTGCTATAGACCACTTGATAATGACAGCTCTCATTTCATTTTCAACTTTCTGTTGAAAATGTTCCTTTCTATTTGACAATCCATTCTTTGTTGCAACTTGCAGTGGCGAAACCAAGGAGTTCGCCGGCCGTTGGCAATCAGAACATAAGAGACTCTATCCCCGAGGTTTGCCCTTCAATCAAGGAAATCTTTTTGGGGTGGTAGTATTGCAGGGGCTAGGTAACCCATTACAATTAGGGGCTACAGCTATATCGGGCTCCATATTTGGGACTTTATCACAATTACCCTTATAATTGCTACCCACAGAATCCCGTTGCAAGCCCCAAATACCCACTGGATCCTTTGTAATTAAAGAAGGGCCATTTCCCGAAACCATGAACCCCTAAACCCTAAACCCTAACCCCAAACCCATATTCAACCTGAACCCCAAACCGCAAGCCCTAAACCCTTGTTTAACCTAAATCCTTAACTCCAGCCTTGCCAGAGGCAATGATCCAAAAAGGGAGGCCGGAGTTGAACGAAGGAACCTAAGGTCTGAAACGTGCGGTCCTTTTGTTTGTGCAACCCCATCGGCCTCTTAGGTCTAGCATGCAGCTTGGGGGTCTAGGGTTTATAGGGTTAAGGGTGTACAGGTTTTAGGGTATTGGGGGTCTGAGGTTTTGGGGTTGATTTTCTGGGCTTAGGGTGTATAGGGTTAAGGGTGTTCAGGTGTTCGGGTGTATTGGGTTTAGGGTATATAGGGGTTAGGGTTTGTAGGGCTTGAGGCTTGGGGGTCTTTCGCTTGAGATTTGATCCTCTCCCCTCAAGACTAAACCTCCCCAGCTCCCCTCAATAATACTCCCAACGGGATATATTGGGGTTATATTAGGATAATGGAAAGGAAACTACTATTTACGGTTTAAGTTTCAGGATATGGGAAATTGAATTTTTGGGGATCAGGATTCAGGCTTAGGGAACAAGACCCGCGAGGAATTAGGAACTCCCTCGCGTTTGTCTCCAAGTCTTACTGTACCTTAGACCCAAAAAGGCTTTCAGTTTTAGGATGTCATGTAAAACAAAATTTCTAGGCCCTTAAACTGAGAATTGAAAGCAAGAAACGTATTGAAACAATTGTAGTACCATCCCCTAGTACAGCCAGCAGGTAGTAACAGCCGATGATGCCTTGCAGCTTTGCTTCTATAACCGCATGTTTCTAAGAGGCGCCAGTGGAGCAATATTGGATAAAAAACCATCTAGTTCTCTCCACAGCTGGGCAGTAGCCCCGGAACATTTGCTTGCACAGGTTTACTTTGACCCCTAAACCCTACTGGGTCCAATCAGGGCACTGAGGGCGTCTCGGTACACAGCTTCTACTCTGGAAGCTCGGAGTAAAGGTTAAGAACTCAACCGCACGCTACCCTGCCCCGCTGATGAACCCTTGTATCGGCTTCCTCTAGAACCCTCAATAATCACAATAGCATTCTGAGGTGCATTTGAGGTACCCTGCCATAACTATGCAAGGAATCAAGGACCATGATACACGATAGCGTTCATTATTCAGGCCCCTGCAGTGTCTGCTCATGATGCAAATTTGTTGCAGCCAACGTATTCCTGCAGTCCTCATTTCAATGGCCTGACCTGCAAGCCTGCAGCATGCAAAAGCAAGATGCAGTTAGGAGTCTGCGTCCCCATAGAGTGAATGATGTCAATAAATTTTCAGATCCAAACAAATGTCGAGCGCCTCACGCAACTATCTATTCAGGGAGGAAGGTCTCGAACTTAAACAGTTGCGGAATCCTGTCTCATTAGCTCTAAACCCTGAGACTGCTAAGAGCTTCCCGCTTTTCCAATACTGTGCACCCGAGACACCGGGCTGCCCTTCACCCCAATGATGGCACAGGTTCCCAGGATCAGTACCTAGCAGCTGCCCGGCTCTGGACTCATCATTTTGGAGCTTCAAGCTATGGGTCCTAGACTCTAAATAACACAGTACCTTCCATGTTGTTTTACTTCCAGTCCCCCATATCCTTTATACCGCTATACGAAGGCTGGGGGGGAGTGTTTTATGCTAAAGCCTTCCTATGCTTGTATGCATGGATGCTGAATGCTTAGGATCCTGTACGCGACTTTTGCTGGCCTCCACTGCTAAGTCGGCTCCAAATAGTGGGTTTAGTTTCAGGAACATGGCGTCCTTTCCTGATACTATTGCGAAGACAGCGCAGCTAGTCGAATCTTGTAATCAAGAATCAGCTCGTGATCCCGTCACAGAGAGAAAGCGAGAGGTCGACAGGAAGATGTCCTGACAGATTCCTGTTGCGTGTTGGCTTACTGTTGCATCTTCCTTCCTTTCATAGTATTCTTCTGGTTGCTCCTGTTCTTGCTCCTGCGCGTGTGCTGGATCTAGTTCTTCTTGCTGCTGTTCCCGTGTGTGTTTACTGATGTTGTTGATTCTGGTGTGGTTCGTCACATTGTCCACTACCCTGGAAGAAACTCGGTAAGTCTTACGACTATTGCGACGCTCGACAATCTACTGAAAGAGATGCTATCACATCTGCGTCTGCTTGCGTTAACATACATGATGTCAGGTACTTACACGAAATCAAATAGAGGTGGCTGCCAAGGCCATCAGACAGATGGGACTGCTGTGTGTCCTGCTCTGTAAGTGCACCTCGGAGAGCATCTACACGCCGTGTGTTAAATCAACCCCTCATGTGCTCACATTGGCTCACTGGTCCTTCTCTTCCCAGGTGGCACCAGTAGTCAGAACCATCCCGGCACATGCCTAGAAGCCTTTGCATAAAGACTTACCCCTCGTTCTGAGCTTGTTGCATGTGCGTGTGGGTGTTCATTGTGAAAGCAAACCGACGAAACACTGTCAAGTGATTCGCGTGCATACCCCAATACCCTGTAACAAATACAAACCTTAGAACTCAAAATGCTGCATCATTTTTATTTCATGAACTAGGATCCTCAGAAATAAAAAAAGCCCATTTTCGGCCCCTGAAAGGGAGGCAACCCGGTGAGCAACCCGACGAGTTACCATTGATTCGAAGAGGTCTGCGCAGGTTCCCGAGACGTCATTTATGGCCTGCGAAAGCTCATGGGGTCGTATGCTACTTCCAGTAGGGCTTGGGATTTCAGGGTTTGGGCTAGGATCCATAGGGCCTAGGGCCGCGGTATCACCTTATACTGCCTCAGCCCCACTTGATCAGGACCCCAGAAAACCGTAAATAACCTTTCATCAAGCCTTGTCACATGAGGTCCTGTGCCTCAACACATGTTTGGCTGTTGCACATGCTAACAACTGATACATAAGTTGGACTCCCCCACCCTGTCATGGTGCCTATAGGGATGATAGGGATTATGTTAGGGTCCTCTTATATTCCTGTTATACCACTATTACAGGGTGGGGGGTCCTCCTAACTGGTACCGGTTCTGTAGACGTTGGTTGTGTCGTGCATCTTCGGGGCTCATGCTCCTTATACACGGCTGTGGCAAGTAATTGTCAGAACTCAGCAAAAAACATGCTGGCTTCGTTCTGCGGCAAACGCCGAGGAGGTCCCTGTTTAGGGGCCCCTATAGCAAAACAAGGAGTAAAGTAATTAGTAACCCTAAACCCTAGGCCCTGAACCCTAAATCCTAGCCCTATACCCTGAACCTAGGGTAGGACAGGAAGATCCGATGGTTTGAAAGTTTGGATGCATCCTGGCCTCACCAACCACGTCAAAGTAGTCGATGGGGTGAAGCTGCGAGGCGATGTCTTGCATCTCTTCCTGATATGGATTTCTCTAACGGGTTTGGGGTTTAGAGCTAACTGAGGCTGACTACGGTGGAGCCTAGAGGGGTAGCATCTCCTCCTGTTAGATTCATCTACACGGTTTAGGGTCTAGAGATGTCTCGAGTTAACTGAGGCTAACTAACGCCTTGCATGATAAATGCCCAACGCCTGACGGACTACATCTCAAACCCTTGCTCTCGACCCAAAACTCCAAGCCCTAAACCCTAGTCCCCCTTAAGTAGATAGAATATGGGTTGTATGGGATCTTATTATAACATACCCAAAACCATATTCTATCTACTTAAGGGGGACTAAACCCTAAACCCAATATGACCCATTATAGTAGTTTCCATTTTCTTTTCCATTATCCATACATAACCCCAATAATATCTCCCATATTCTATCTACTTAAGGGGACTATACCCTAAACCCTAAACAGTAGTTTCCATTTTCTTTTCCATTATCCCTATATAACCCAATATATACCCTAAAATCCCTATATAACCCCAAGCCATAAAACCCTAAACCCTAAACCCCTAAACCACCTAGGGGGACTATAGGCCCTGGGCCTCCATGCGTCTGAGATCGGCCATCATGTCTTCGTCGTCGCCCTCCACACCGCGCTTGGCTCGCTGCTTGCGGTCCTCCTGAGAGGGGGTTGCTGTTAAGGAACTTAAATTAAGTTACCATAATGGGGTTAGGGTTTAGGGTTTAGGGTTTAAGGTTACCATAATGGCCTATCATGGAGAATCAAATGGAAA